TTTTGTTTGTTTGTTTGTTTGTTTTTAAATCCGTCAAGGCTATCCTACCATTCACTTTTTAACCACTTGTTCTTTAGCCCTTGGTACATAAAATATTACTGTGGCTTAAGGGAAATACCCTTGCAGAATTGCGGGTCGGTTTTGCTGGCAAGATACCGAGCTTGACAGAAATTCAACATGAAATAATAAAACTAATGAGTGCAGGAGTTGAGCTTTATTTAAATTTTGCGTCTGCAGTGAGGCCCAATAGCAGATATTCACGTGCCCACATGCAGAGTGCTTTGTGTGCAGTACAGCTCCATAAAAAAATGATAAGGAATGACACCTTTTTTTGATACCACTGATAATATATATTGAGTGATACCAGTGATGGTTTTATTTATTTGTTTTAAACATTATGTTACAAAGGTGTATTTATATAACACAAATCTGTAGGTGTAGGATCAGGATAAAAGGTTTTACACTTAATGTAGCACTCAATTTGTTACTTCTAAACCTGCTAATTTTAGATTCATTATTAACTGGCACCTTTGTTAATACCCATAATTAAATTCTGGTTGATGTATAAACAATAAACCTTCTTTCCCCCAGGATTTTTTGTTTCAGCAGACAATGTTAAGGGTAAAGGATCCGAAGAAGTCTCTGGATTTTTATACAAGAATTCTCGGAATGACGTGAGTAGAAGTTGTATGTCACAATCAGTTTGTTTTTTACTACTGTTCTGAAAAGTTTTTGTGATTTTGATGTAATTATACTAATTGGTCTAACAGCAGAAACAATGCTGGCCCGTCAGCTGATGCCCAGCTGGACAGTCTGGCAATCTCTGAGAGCTCCCGCAGCACAGTTAATGTCTACGCTGCAAATGAACTCCTATTGGCCTTGACTAGAAACTTCTTTTTTTCTTAAATAGGTCGTTAATTATCGTTGTACAACTTGCTTACGTCCTCCTCACCGAGCCTGCAGCTAGCTCCTAACTTTTATGACAGTGCTTATAATCGGGAGTCGTTGCTATAAATCTTGAAATTAAGTAATTCTCAGAGGGTGGCTTGCAACCAGCGCTGGTCATGAGAGACCAAGGCAATGGAAGCTGGAGACAAGGTCCAATCTCGGCCTTTTGAAGGTGGCTATTGGGAGGCAGCTGCCCTGCAGTAGCCTGATGCGTTTATGCTGAGGCTCTGGGCACATTCTTGTCATTTGAAATTACTTACTTCAGGACAGCATTCTAGCATATTTTTAAACACCTTGAAATGAGTTTAGGCTAAAGTAAAATAAACTACTTCCCCTTTAGTGAAGATGTGGGCGTGAGAAAAAATAAATACCTAGTAAGCTGAAAAAGAAATTAGATTAGTTTTGCATACCTACTTGTTCTGGTTAAACATCCTACGTAAAAATTTATACCTCGAGTGTTTTTTAGTTGATTAAATTGTCTCATCTGGAATGGATTTTATCATTGAAAATTAGCTATTGAAATTGTGAAAGTATTTCATCTAAATGTATGTTTGTTTCTTAATCCTGCTGTGTTCTTAAACTTGGTCTGGTGCCAGTGAGCTCCCCAGCATGAGTAAGTTTCAGTGTAAATATTTGTATTCCTTGGTGATGTTTTAAAGTGGATAAACATAAATATCTTCCTGAGGAAATACGGACAAGTAACAGAGTGGCAACTTCAAGACGTGAGCCTTTGTGCTGGCTTTGCTATTCGGTTACTGATAATTCGGCTTTTAAGCCTCTGATTCTTCTAAATTTTGTAGGTTTTTAATATGTTCTGGGGTGTTTCTATTTGATAGTTGAAAATGTAACTATTTTAAGATGTAGATTACGGTCAGAAAGGCAAACAATCACAGCAATAATTCTTCCCTGGGAGAAGCATCTTTGTTTATTTGCAAGTTACCTGATTACCTTTTACAGTTACTATTTCAAAATAACTGTTGCCATTTAGACTGCTTCAAAAATTTGACTTTCCTACTATGAAGTTCTCGCTGTATTTCCTGGCATATGAAGATAAAAATGATATTCCGAAAGATAAAACTGAGAGAACAGCTTGGACCTTCTCTAGAAAAGCTACACTTGAACTGACACAGTAAGTATTGGTATAATGAGAGATGACATTTAGCTAGCAGTGATTAAACAGAAGTGAATGAGTGTAAATCCTGTTGGACTGAATAAAAAAATGTAATCATTACTGTGGAAACATCTTCACTACCATACAGCCTTAAAATTCGGCTGAGATCCTGGATACTTGGCAAGCTTAATCTTTCTCTTTTTCAGAGCTCTTTCAAACTGCCAGGTGAATGGCGGTACATAAATACGAAATAATGCCTGCTATGTTCTGGGTATGCATGCCATCCGGGGGGGAAAGCTACAGAATTTAGGAAAACCCAACATGGTTAGAACTTTCTTTGAATCCCCAGAGCGTCCTAATAATGGTCAACTATTGCTTTTGGAATTTAATCAAAAGAGGTATTACACCAAAACGTCCATTTCCCATAAACAGCACAATTTGCTTAATGCTGGCAGGCGTTGTAGTTGTGCAGAAAGTGTCTCCCAACTACCCTGCTGTCTCGCTTAGCTTGAGGACCTGCTGCTCCCACTGTTAGTTCCCCAGTGGTGGGTAGATAAACTGGCTCATGCAGCACGACTTTCTCTCCAATCTGAATGAGACAGGAGCATCTCTGCCTTACTCAAATGTGGAACCTGAATACTAGTGGAGGGCTGTGAACGTGACTGGATTAGCCCCAAGACTATCCCTAGGACCTGTGAGTAGGGAGAATCGTGGTAGTTTCATGAATGCATCCAGCAGCTGAAATTCTCTGGTTTCTTAGGAGGAACAACTTACTCTCCCGAGGAAACTAAACATTTAGGATTTGTTAATTTCGATGCTTTCCTTCAGTATGTAATTATTGCTTCTTACAGCAACTGGGGCACTGAAAATGATGAAAATCAGTCTTACCACAATGGCAATTCAGATCCCCGAGGATTTGGTAGGTTTTTAGTTTTGTGTTTGTAGGTTTTAAGCTTTGATTTATTGTGATTACATTTTTTTTTTTCCCTCTCTTGTGTATTGGGGAAAAATGGAGTTTCAAATGTTTTTTTAGAAAACTTCTATATTAAAATTTTGTGCAAAGATTATTGGGTCACTATATGCCCTAGGGTTTTTTTAATGAGAAAATATTTTAAACTTGTATGGATGAAAATACTTTTCTAGTAGGTTACTTCGAAGAGAACGTACTAGCACTAGGAAAGAAGGGAACTTGCATCTCACCCTTTATCTCTCTTCTTCCAGCATGTGAAGGATCATGAAAATAGGTAAACGAATGTGTTTCAGAGTCATGAGCCACAGTTACACTTTTTATGGAGAATCTAATCCTTTGGCAAGCAAACACTTGCTAATAGTAAATGAATGAATCTGCCGAGTGAAGAGCAGTAATTACTCTTGTGTATCAGATTATCATGGTGTTTAGACAGATTCACGTTTGGATTTCTATTTTATAATCCGCTGGTTACCCATGTTAAGCTAGAAGAAGTCTGTTTGTCCGTAGCACTGAGGATAGTATTTGTGTGGCTCGATTTGATATTTTGAGTGCTTGAAAGGTCACTGGCTTGTCAAACAAGTTTCATACTCCATCGAGCCACTTGACATTTAAAGCTTCTGAATTGATTTGTAAGCTCAGGCCTCGCACAGTGCTAGTGTTAATCTCTACAAATACAGTGTTAATGATAAACTCCTTGTTCTGTTGAACTGAGTAAATGCAACAAAGTCCTGTTGCGTGGGCATGCTTCGAGAAAGGAAATACAGATAAAACAGTCTGATTGAAAAAATCTTACTTTTTCCTACTTTAAGTAATATTCTCATCTAAACAGTGTGAGGTATTTTAACTCTTAAGTTCCAATTTTAAAAGGCATTATCAAAAAGCCAACTTTCTGAAGGAGAATAGTGTTAATCCCCAAAATGCTCTTCTTTCCAGAAGCAATGTTTTTCTTGTGTACAATCCTATCTTCTGTGAACTACAGTGCGTAAACTTTTTGCACAAGGTGAAGTGTTGGGCAAACTTTTTGCCAGAACACCCAGCAATACTTACGGTGTACTTCACTCTGTTTACCTTGTTGCACAGGACACATTGGCATCGCTGTCCCTGATGTCAATAAAGCTTGTAAGAGGTTTGAAGAACTGGGAGTGAAATTTGTGAAGAAACCAGATGACGGTAAGTCTTGATCAGAAATGCAAGTCAGTGTTTTTCCTTGGTTTTAACATGTTCTGTCTAGTAGATCTTCCTGGGAAGCTGGGTAATAACGTTTCCAGTAGATGTCATCGCTTGGAAGGTGCTAGAACCGGTTACCCTGCACCCTCTTACACAGGGGGCAGAACTGACAATGGATCCCTCTCGGTAACGATAATCAGCCTCGCTACCTGCCTTCTGTTCGTAGTCTGACCTTCAGTAAAGTCACGTGCTCTGTTGATGTCATAGGTTACTACCTATACTACTGCCTAGGGTTATTACCAAATTTACTTCAACGTGGATCCAATTCACACGTCACATCTGTTTGGTTCCTATCATATAAAATAAGATGACTCAAGACATAATTACTCCCACCCGTTGACTTTTCTGGCTATTTTTATTTAAATCCACCTTATGCCACCTACAAGCTATTACCATAGCTTTGAAAATAGCCACGTGAGTCTTTATCGTATTTTACTTGTATAACTTTTAGTAAAAATTGCATAATATGTGGCTCGAATGTCTAGAGAGTACCTAAACAAAGAACGTCTGTGACAAAATAGCCTAAAGTGCAGGAATCGGTGATGAGGTGTCTTGCGTTTTTCAGCTGGATTCTCTTTCATGAAGAGACCTCGTAAGAGTTTTAGGACCAATGCGTTCCAAAACGGACATGTGATACTCAGCAGCATGCACAAATCTGTGATGCTGCTTCTTTCTGGTTGTAGAAACTAGGCTGTTGTCACTAATGGGGGTGTTTTTTTAGTCTGAGAGTAACATTAGTACGTGAAGCTTCAGTTTACACATACTGGAATTGATCTTCTAGATTCCTTGCTAGAGGAATAAGAATGAGTAACTGAAAAGAGACTGAAGTGATTTTCATCTTATTACTCACTGTGTTCTCAGCTGAAGCAAATGGAAGAAGCGTAGCTAGAAACTTAACTTGAATATAGATTTCTTGAGTTAATTTTTTACTGTTACTAATTGACCATAATATTGCTCGCATTTTAGAGTTTCTGAGGCCTTTTTCATTTGTTCAGCACCTGTTGAACCTTGTGAGAGTTGAAGTGAGAGATCCTGACTGATTCTGTATCACTGCACAGCTCTTAAGTACGTAGGAGGGGAAGCTTAGACTGTAAATGGAATAAATGACAGGAAAGAATTCTTGAAGCAGTCATGGACTTCACATTCATTGTTTGTGGAGTAGGCTGAGACACCTAATGTTTGGGGTTTCTTTCTTATATTACTGAACCAAACATCTACTATTCTCTGACAAGTTTTTGCAACTAGAATATATTAAGATATAGGTTGGTTCTGTTTCAGTAAATAGCCTATTAGAGCACATACAATTAAAAGTGTGCAGTTAGCACTGTAAGATAATACATTAAACTATGATCTGCTGATCTACTGTTGATGACAACTTTTGGGGACCCTGTTCTAACAAGTAATATTTTTTCCAATAGTAAAATTTAAAACATTTCCTGCCCTGCATTCCTCTGTTTTATGAAGTGATGCAAATGCGTGCTGTAAACCACATCAGGGGGAAGACCAAACAAGAACCAGTAACATAAAACTTGAGCATGGAGGCAGGAATGATGAGAGATGAATGGGGCAGAGGAGCACAACGTTTTGTACTGGCAAAGCCAGTTTAAGAAAATACGTCAAAACATCCTGAAGCATAAATAAATAAGTTTTTCTGAATTTAGAGGAAGAATGCTTACAGGGCCGTGTGCCGAAAACTTTGATGTACAAAAGACTTTAAACTACAGCTATGTTGAGAGCAAGACTGACAATTTAGCATACAAAGATCTAATGCTGATGAAAAACTAATCTGGATGTTTTCAGGAGTGGCTGCCTAAATTTCAACTAATTCTCATGCAAAAGGAGAAAAACAAAAAATATTTTTCTGAGTAGTCATATTTATCATTAAGAACTAGTCACATAGTCTTAACTTTATCTTCTTGTTTGTTTGTTTTTCTTCCTAATAGGTAAAATGAAAGGACTTGCGTTTATTCAGGATCCTGATGGCTACTGGATTGAAATTTTGAATCCTAACCACATTGTGACTCTTACTTAGTTCTAGTGAAGTATATTAGATGAGAGATGCCCAGATTCAGTTCCCTGGAGAAAATCTGTAATACTGTTTGTGAAATTCTCGCTTAGTGGAGAGGAATCAGTCATGTTCAGAGTCTCCTCTAAAACTATCCCCTGGTCCTGTGATGCCACCGCAATTTGTTTCCAATTAGGAATATTCAAACTTGTTTTTTGGAAGAGTGCTTACACAGATTCTCCTCTTGAATGCTACTTAGTTAATATTTCACTAAATGCTATCAAAAGATATATGACCAGAAATTCACTGCATCTCACACTGTTTAGATTTAAACTGACAACAACAGCAAAATCCTGTGTTACTGCTGATGAGCTTCAACAAGGAGGAAAAAAACCCACTTCAGAATTTTTTTTTTTAATGAAGTCAAAAGATCCTGAAGGCTTCACACCCTGTCTTGTACGCTAGAAAATAAAATGTCAGACTAACTTTGACTTGAGTAGTAGCATGTTTATGAAAGTCCTAACTTTACTTATATTATGCCAGGCAAAACTCTTTAAGGAGCAGCCTTAAACAGCCTTGCCTGGAACAAGAAACTTTGTGGAGGCAATAAATCAGTCCAGCAGAAAGAATTCCGTCTTTCAGCTTCTGGCTGCTGATTGACAGCCAAGTCAGGAGGTCTCATAGTTGCCAACTGACAGTGATCCTTCTAGAAAGAACTTGCTCGTAACTTTTGTTTCAATGAAAGTCTGGGGCTGTAGTTAACTGAAATGCTCTATGTTCTGCATTAGGAAACTAATGAAATAGAGTACCTGAAACACCAATTTCCTGCTAGCAGGCACTTTGATCTGCCCTCAAAGTGAGTGACAGTTACTGAAATTATACCTGTAAACAGCAGGAAAACTGTAACGTTTCCATGTCACACAAATTATTTGGTTTTATGCTGTTCACCTGCTACCAACAGTGCAAACCATGTCAGGTTTTGAATTCCTGTTGTTCCTTCCAACACGGAAAAAAATCCTCTGCCCCATCTTGCTGTGGTTCGAGTGGCTCTTAACTCCTACCAGCTCTTCAGTTATGGACTATTGAGTAGTGTAACAGCGTTGCCATTCACTTCCAAATAAAGCACTGGTGAAAAGGACAGAATAATTTATAAGCAGCGTGACCTGTTGCTTTGCTAGTTGAATCCCAGGTAACTGAAAGGCCATTTGTTTTGGCTCGTGGATTCTTTTTTGAGAAGAACTCTGGTGATAAAAGAATATGAATTGGGGGTACAGTAGCTAAGAAGATGACTGTGACTTGATTAGTAGCAGGGTGTTATAGTAACTTAATGATAATGTGTGGAGTTAATAACTGTCAGTAACTCCCTGGCTAAGAAATAACTGCGTTTGATGTCTACTATGCTAATGTAGATGTTAATGACTTAAATGCTAAGTTTTGCTGTCCTGTCTCCTTATCTGAAAAATTCTGAATTTGTCTGCCGCCTCTTAACAAGATAACATAGATCAACTCAGTAATTTTACAAAGCTCCACATGAAAAATAATTCATAAAATGTAATCCAAGATATCTTATTTACCCTTGGAAATGAGTAAAATAGATGATATGCTTCATGTGGGCCTTAGATGTTGGAAAAAGGAATGTGAAAACTGTTGCTCTGCTTGGTACCCTGCACAGATGTGCAAGCCATCATAAATTCATTGGAAGGCAGACGTAGTAACTCAAAAGTGAATCTTTTTCCAGTTTTCTGTTTGTTATATGAAGCAACCCTGATCTTTTTAAACTATCATCCATATGATATTTTCTGGGTGGTCTCTGCAGTATCTACAGATACTGTGCTGTAGGTGGTGCCTCTTCAGTGTTACCCATATGCAATAGATTCTTTCCCTTTCTTGAATATTTGCCAAGTTGCCTTTTTTCTGCAACAATAAACACTGTTGGTTCATGGTTGCGTTCTCGGTTTCTGCCCTCCTGTACTTCCAGAACGAATCCCTAGCCTGTTGGTTATTCTCCTGTATGTTGGGTCATTTTGAGAGGGACAAGATAGTTACGACTGTGCGGCGTGAGATCTGAGTGAGCCGTCTTAATCGCTGTCACCACGTGGTCTCACAGTCTTCCTCCTCCCAGATGTGGGGCTTTTGATGTTGCACCTCCTGCCCCAAGCAGGCTAATTCAGGTCAATAAAGTGGCAAAGACTTTCTTGAATGCTGGGTTTGTTTTTTGCCAAGTTTATTATGCAGAAAGGAGGAGCCAGTTGAAGGCTCCTTAGTTCCCTGACTGAGCGAATGAAGCTGTTTGATTTAGCAGAAATATAGGTTGGCTCAGCTGACTCGTGAAGTCTCACCGTACATTAAAAAAAGGGACACAACATTGCAGGGTACCTTACAGCAGCAGCAAGCGAGAGGACTCTTGGTTTGAACACTAGTGTAGTGGATCTTCCGAAGTCCGTAGGATGAGAATAGTGCCAAGAAGCACAAGAGCTACAGCAATGAGACACAGCACTGGGCTGGTTGCAGCTTACGTTGGTTTTGATGGCTACATGGTGTTTTTCACACACATCCCTTCTGCTGCTGGCGTTTAGAAACGGGAACTTGAAATGAAGTAGAACTCAACTGAAGCACAAGTGCTAACTGCTGGTCCTAACCATTCAGACTCTCTCATTAGTGTAGAAAATTTGTCTAGACTCGTAGTAGTCCAAGTGAAGTTGTCTACAACTAAGTTTCATTTCAGTCAATCCAGGTGTATCATCTAAAGCTTCACGACCAAGGCAGTGGCAGGGGCAAGGAAAATCTCAAAATTTTACCAGCACGTAACATCGTAGTTCGTATTCTATCAGCGTACAGTGTTTCATTCAGGTTTGTGGCACTGTGCTTCAAAGTACAGGTGTGGCTGGAAAAGCTACTGACCCAATTGTGTGGAGTCCAGTAATTAAAACCGGGATAGGTGGTGAATTGGATGAGTAAGTTCGAGGGTGTGCATCTGTAGTTCAGTGGAGGAGGAGGAGCAACCTATGCAGGAGGTTCTCTGCTTAGTGTGCGAAGAAAAGCTACTCTGAGCATGTTGTGCAAAGCTTGGAGTGACCCTTGGGGTTTTATGTGTTTGACAAAGTGTTGACAATGTGTCAGATGATGAGGTAATAAAGAGGGAACTAGTAAAAAACCACCTGTGTCTACAAACTAGTTACAGCAGTATCGTGAAGTGGGCCAGGTTTTTGGCTTGTTTTTTGGTTTTGGTTTTAGTTTTTTATAGAAGTTACTGCTACTTGCCCTACTGAGAACCAATGAAAACCAGTATTCTCAGTTATGAAATCCAAGGATAAACTACTAAAGAAAACCACTCGATGGTGATTTTTAGCCTGCAACAGCTGTTAAAGATTTTAGATGTAAAAACTCCTGAAGTTGTCTCATATTCTTACTGATGATGTTATTTTTACTTCTTACACTTCTTTTTTTGCTAAATAAAGCATGGAATTAAATAGCACAGAGTGCTTAGCCCCTTGGAGGGCCTAAATTTAGCTTCATGGAGTACCGTAAAAATTAATTTAATGATCCCGTAGAGACAAACTGACATTCTCGGTGAGGAGAGGAAGAGGTCTCGTTACTCAGGAAAGCCGAAGAGCTACCGCCTGCCGGGGCACGGGCGAGCACACCGTATCGCTGAAAGGAAACGCGTATTTTCAGCGTAGCCGAGTGCCGGCGGGGGCGGACAACGGGGAAGGCTGCGCCCCCAGCCGCTGCTCGGTCAGGGCTGGGCGTTCAAGGGTCCCTGGGGTCTCCACCAGCGCCTGGTTTCTGAGGAACACTGGCGTGTGCCCCGGCGTGAGGTGTGTCCCCCC